AATTAATTTTCTTTTTTTAAAGTAATTAACGTTTATTCTATTTCTGGCTTTCCTCAAAACATGGCCGAACAAAGTTCTGTTTAACTAAATATCTCTTAATTACGTTTTTTTGTTGTTGTCCCTTTAATTTTTGAAAGCAATATCTAATTTCAGAAATTAAAAATAATTAATTGTACCGAGATATTTGTATTGTAAAATATACGAGAACAGACGATGAAGTGAGTGATGTCGTTTTATCTTAATCTTTGTTTTTTATGTAATAATATTAAAAAACCGAAGAGAGTGAAAAGATCACCATTGATTTTTCACAGTACAATATCTTTTACCAAAAATCCTTCTGACTCTCCGTTTTTAATAGTTCCTGCCAGTTTGACTTTCTATTAACAGTGTCTAAATACAAAAGGAATTTAATTCTCATTGTCAAGAGACATGATCATACACACACACATATATATATGGTATAGATACAGACCTCCACTGATAACTATAGATACTAACCTCCACTGATACCTGTAGATACAGACCTCCACCGATACCTGTATAGATACAGACCTCCACTGATAACTATAGATACTAACCTCCACTGATACCAGTAGATACAGACCTCCACTGATAACTATAGATACTAACCTCCACTGATACCTGTAGATACAGACCTGCACTGATACCTGTATAGATACAGACCTCCACTGATAACTATAGATACTAACCTCCACTGATACCTGTAGATACAGACCTCCACCGATACCTGTATAGATACAGACCTCCACTGATAACTATAGATACTAACCTCCACTGATACCTGTAGATACAGACCTGAACTGATAACTATAGATACTAACCTCCACTGATACCTGTAGATACAGACCTGCACTGATAACTATAGATACTAACCTCCACTGATACCTGTATAGATACAGACCTCCACTGATAACTATAGATACTAACCTCCACTGATACCTGTAGATACAGACCTGCACTGATAACTATAGATACTAACCTCCACTGATACCTGTATAGATACAGACCTCCACTGATAACTATAGATACTAACCTCCACTGATACATGTAGATACAGACCTGCACTGATAACTATAGATACTAACCTCCACTGATACCTGTAGATACAGACCTGCACTGATACCTGTATAGATACAGACCTCCACTGATAACTATAGATACTAACCTCCACTGATACCTGTAGATACAGACCTCCACCGATACCTGTATAGATACAGACCTCCACTGATAACTATAGAAACTAACCTCCACTGATACCTGTAGATACAGACCTGCACTGATAACTATAGATACTAACCTCCACTGATAACTATAGATACTAACCTCCACTGATACCTGTAGATACAGACCTGCACTGATAACTATAGATACTAACCTCCACTGATACCTGTATAGATACAGACCTCCACTGATAACTATAGATACTAACCTCCACTGATGCCTGTAGATACAGACCTGCACTGATACCTGTATAGATACAGACCTCCACTGATAACTATAGACACTAACCTCCACTGATACCTGTAGATACAGACCTCCACCGATACCTGTATAGATACAGACCTGCACTGATAACTATAGATACTAACCTCCACTGATACCTGTAGATACAGACCTGCACTGATAACTATAGATACTAACCTCCACTGATACCTGTAGATACAGACCTGCACTGATAACTATAGATACTATCCTCCACTGATACCTGTATAGATACAGACCTCCACTGATAACTATAGATACTAACCTCCACTGATACCTGTAGATACAGACCTGCACTGATAACTATAGATACTAACCTCCACTGATACCTGTATAGATACAGACCTCCACTGATAACTATAGATACTAACCTCCACTGATACCTGTAGATACAGACCTGCACTGATAACTATAGATACTAACCTCCACTGATACCTGTAGATACAGACCTGCACTGATACCTGTATAGATACAGACCTCCACTGATAACTATAGATACTAACCTCCACTGATACCTGTAGATACAGACCTCCACCGATACCTGTATAGATACAGACCTCCACTGATAACTATAGATACTAACCTCCACTGATACCTGTAGATACAGACCTGCACTGATAACTATAGATACTAACCTCCACTGATACCTGTAGATACAGACCTCCACCGATACCTGTATAGATACAGACCTCCACTGATAACTATAGATACTAACCTCCACTGATACCTGTAGATACAGACCTGCACTGATAACTATAGATACTAACCTCCACTGATACCTGTAGATACAGACCTGCACTGATAACTATAGATACTAACCTCCACTGATACCTGTAGATACAGACCTGCACTGATAACTATAGATACTAACCTCCACTGATACCTGATAGATACAGACCTCCACTGATAACTATGCACTGATAACTAACCTCCACTGATACCTGTATAGATACAGACCTCCACTGATAACTATAGATACTAACCTCCACTGATACCTGTAGATACAGACCTGCACTGATAACTATAGATACTAACCTCCACTGATACCTGTAGATACAGACCTGCACTGATACCTGTATAGATTCAGACCTCAACTGATACCTGTATAGATACAGACCTCAACTGATATCTGTATAGATACAGACTTCAACTGATACCTGTATAGATACTAACCTCCACTGATACCTGTATAGATACAGACCTCCACTGATAACTATAGATACTAACCTCCACTGATACCTGTAGATACAGACCTGCACTGATAACTATAGATACTAACCTCCACTGATACCTGTAGATACAGACCTGCACTGATACCTGTATAGATTCAGACCTCAACTGATACCTGTATAGATACAGACCTCAACTGATATCTGTATAGATACAGACTTCAACTGATACCTGTATAGATACAGACCTCCACTGATACCTGTGTAGATACAGACCTCCACTGATACCTATATCGATACAGACCTCCACTGATACCTGTATAGATACAGACCTCCACCGATACCTGTATAGAAACAGACCTCCACTGATACCTGTACAGATACAGACCTCCACTGATACCTGTATTGAGTCAGACTTCCACTGATACCTGTACAGATACAGACCTGCACTGATACCTGTATAGATACAGACCTGCACTGATACCTGTACAGATACAGACCTCCACTGATACCTGTATAGATACAGACCTCCACTGATAACTGTATAGATACTAACCTGCATTGATACCTGTATAGATACAGACCTGCACTGATACCTGTATAGATACAGACCTCAACCGATACCTGTACAGATACAGACCTGCACTGATGTAAAATGGATGGGCTGTGATGATCCTACTGTATTGTGAATCTGTAATGTTAATATTGTTCAGCTTTTGATGTCTACAAATTTATAAAACCAGCAATCACTGACTTAAAACCTCGTCTAAGATGAAAAAAAAAAGGCATATTTTTTGTTCTTTGACATGATTTCCTAACTCAAGAATATTAACTGAATTCAACTAAAACCCCACAAGGAAGAGAAAAGCTGGTATATGGAAAATGTTCTTTCACATGAATGTGTATTTAGTTGATTTCTTTATCACTTGTTAAAGTTAGTGATCTTTTGTATCGACATAAAGAGAGCACCTGTACTTTTTTTAGGAGAGAGGATTCATGTGCTTATATAAAGCCCTCTTCTGCATCAATCTTTGGACAATATCTATTTTGTTTGTTTCTTTATGCAGTTCTCATTTCAAATTCCATCTGTTTTCTGTAGAGTTTGATTTCTCTGAAATCAGTCTTGGCTAGATTAGATCTTTCATTTCAATTCACTGATGATATTGTATTGTTTCACTGTCAGAATGCTGCTAATTAAATTTACCCAGTCCAAGAAGATATTCCATCTAAATCACATCACAATTTGGCCTTTTATTGGTGAGAACACCCCTTTTGTAAGGCCAAACAAGAAAGTGTTTGCTTCCTGTTACATGCTTGGAAAATTTAGGGTTGGTAAATAAACAATTTAAGCACAAATTTTAGTTGGTAGAGTAACAGAAAACAATTATATAACATTTTTTGTTTTCCCTAACAACTTGTCTATCAAATACAGTAGAAGCATATTGCACACTCCAACACCCAACCCCCTACCCTAACTATTATTGTTTATTAAGGAAAAAAAGAAGGAAACATGTATTTGATGTCATTAAATAGTTTATTATTATATTAGGTAGCTGATTCCCTGTACAGATCATATATATATATATATATATACACAAAATCTTCTGTGCATGTTTTAAATTATAATAACTGATATTAGGCACAGATTTATTAATGATTAAAAAAACTAAAATATTAAAAACTTAACAATTTTGAATTGTAATGACTTATGGGGATAATTTTTGTTAAATATTAAATCATTCTTAATACCATTTCTTAGATCATGCTAATGATTTGAAATCAATCATATATTTCTGTGAAATATAAATACAAAAATCTGGCACTAATGAGTTTATGAATATTCATAACAGACATTGAATGTAACAAGTAATTTATAAGGTATGCAATAACGAGAAAAAGGAACCGAGGAGAAGTGATAACAATGATGATGATGATGATGATGATGGATTTAAAAATTATATCATTTAGGGAAATACATTAAACATTTTGTTGAATCTAAAAACTAAAATTGTGTGCGATGTGTTATCACAGTAATGCTGAATTAACACTGAGCATTGTTTTAAGGTAACTCTACATACACAACTCCATGGAATTTTTCTTGTCACTTAAAAATCACACTTTAAAAAAAAAACATTAAATAAAAATTTCAATTAAACATTCATACTGTTTTTTCCCCCTATTTATTTGCAACTCTTATCAGGTAATACTTTGGATAGACTAGCTATCTCAATCATGCTTTCTATCTATTACCCATTTATACTGAATAAAATACAACTACATACAGTTCATATATACATGTGCATCTAGTCATTCTTGACATTTCTGCACTTAAGCAACGCCCATCTACACATTACATGTATACACTGAAATAATCAATAACTAACAAAATGGATAAAAATCAGGCAATTTAAAATTCACTCAACCGTAAAACAATCAAACCACGCACAACTGAAAAGTAACATCTATATCCATTTACACGAGCTTGTAAATCCATGCACCAAGCAAATCTTGTAGACACATAATGATAAATCACTAGATTGAGGTCAAATGAATGACTTCTTGCACTATTAACAATTTATGCTAGCAATGTCGGGAAGATCAAGTTTCCGTGCCGTGGAGCTTGAGATCTCTTTGGTAATTGTAGGCACAATTGATATGGATGGGCTGCCATTTGGGAATCCACCAGGTGTGTAACCGAAGAATTTTGAAGACGGTACCTGCAGTCTCTCTGTTGGCGTAATAAATTGGGAAGTGGACATTGTTGGCCTTTCTGTGGGTGTCAACAAACTCTGATTGGTCACTGGAACAGGGCTGGTCAATTTGGATGTTGCCATTGAGATGCTCTGTAGCTGTTCGATAGTTGAAAAGGTACATGGCGTGGTGGGAAAAGAAAACATGGTTGGACTAGAAGACCCACTCTGAGGAGTAAGAGGTGGACTGAATGTAATTGGCACCATAAAGTTAATGGGTTGTCCCTGAACACCAGAGGCACTAAGAGGCACGCCTTGGATAATTTGCATTTGTGGAGTGAGGTTTGACACATTGGGCTGGGTCATCTTTGGTGTTTGAATGATATGACAATTATCAGATTGGCCAATGGGAAACTGGAGTATGGTTGGTGATTTGTTTGGCAACTGAACGGCAATCTGTTGGACGTTTCCGCCTGTGCTTTGCTTCATGTGAGATTGCTGAACAAGGGGAGAGGTAGATTCACTTGAAATGTCACACACTGATTCCGAGTCCGATGGAGGAGAGGCATATTCTATACGGATCCTTTTTGATGGATCAACTTCTGGACTTTCACTGTTAGGCCTCTTGTGTTTATTATTAGCACTGTCAAGAGAACACATAATTGTTTCTGTAGAACACACAATAGCCTTTGGTTTTTCAAGCACTTTTAAAGAAGATGAACAATCTACAATTTCCTGGAATTCCCCAGGTTTCTTCAGATTTTTGTTGATAGGAACTGGCACTTTGAGGGATTTGAGCACAGCATCAATCTGATCCTTTGTCAAAGGAATCATGGTGGCCTGTTTCTGGTTAAGCTGGGAGGTTTTCACTACAATAGTTTCAGCCACTGGTTTGGTTGGCACTTCTTCAGAGGATTCCTTTGGCACTGCAATACTGACCATTTTCTTTGTGACTGGTTGTACAGGGAGTTTGTGAGCGACAGTTGTCCCTGTGCTATCAGAGTTGACTATTTGAAACTGACCATTTTTTTGCTGAAGAATGAAATGTTTTCCTTTCGGTTTAATCTGCCTCTTTGAATTCTGGTGCACATCTTCCTGACTCAAGCTCTTAGGGAAATCTGTTAAAGAATTTAAAACTTTTGTAAAAAACAATACTAGATGACTGTCAAGTATGTTACCAGGAATTTTCTTCAAATTTATTTATATATAATATAATATTAATGACCAATTTTAATCTCAAACCATTAAGCAACATGCCATCCTATTTTCCTTCACATACAAAATCACCCTGATGGCCAGCTCGGCAATACACTAGAAGTTCCAGACAATATGCCTGCGATAGAAGATTTTCATCTTGATTATCTAACTTGAACAAACAGTAATTCTTATTTCACAATGTTGGTGAAATCAAAACCTACCATCCTCAGGCTGTTCACAAGTTGGACTAGCAGGCTGTGACATGGAAGCATATAGTCTGTGTCGCTCCTTCTCTGCTACCTGGCAAATTTGTTCAAAGGAAGAATTGCGTCTGAAGGAAGATTTCTTAACATTTGGAATCTCAGGGCTTGGGGTTGATGAAGTGCTATGGTCACCTGTAGAACCAAATAAATAATTAACATAATTTGCAGCAGGAAAACACACAAATCTGAGTTTCTGCCTTTATTGTCACCACTAAAACAGATCAAATCTCAGGAATATACTCCAGTGTAGATATCAAATAAAAATATGTTTGTAAGACACTATTAATGCTCACACTTCAAACATCCTTGATGAATCTACTGAAGTTGTGAAATGTGACCTTTGACTCTTTTATATTACTTAAGATTTATCACTGCTTTAATTTTTTTCCCCATTCAAAGTAAATATAACATTGTATTGAATTAACTATGAACAGATTCAGCCAAATCAGTTAGTGTCTGGGTAACCTAAATGTGTCATATGTACATACCATCAGAGGCACTAGATGCTGAGGTGCAGCTAGGTTTAATGGGTTTGTAGGGACCAACTAGATCAGCAACTGAAACAATAATTGATAAAAACTGTTAGCTAATTCAGCATATAATAATTCTATCTTCAACCTTGTATCTATTGATTATAGGGAAACCCAAACCTGTTTTCACCAACAACACTTTCCTGGGTATGATATCATATGTAAATCAATGTACAAAGTGATGAAAATCTGAGATATAAAGTTAAAATTGGATAATAAGTTAAAACCTTTTTTATATATAGTGGTTTTGATATATATTGGTATTGATTTCCAATTCAGATATATTTTTGAGAATGGCAATGTCCCAAAAATTTCCCATCAAAATGTAGAATTCTGAAAAGCATCAGAAAAACACATCTTCCTTCCATCTGAGAATACAGTTTGAATGAATTAAAGATGCATCCAGCAAGGTTAAATGATTACAATATCATTAACATGTGACTACCATTAACATGTCACCTTCTTGCCTAACAGGAATAAAGATATTTACCATGTTGATTTTTGACACAATCCAGCAAAGAATGTCGCGAACTAGGTCGATGATAACCATCATTGTAGCAAACTGAAAATAGGTAAACATTTATAGGTAAATCACACAGTATGGTATATTTGTACATCACCACTGAGAGTGAGATATCAAAAATCTTAATATTACAAAAAGATTTAATGTCAAATTTTTTTTTATACCATTGTTTGAACAAGACTTAATTTAGTTTGTTTTCAGAATTAATTAACCATATCCAAGATGTGATCCATTGGAAAGTGAGACTCACCACTAATATCCTTCATATTGTCTACATCAGGGCCGATGTACTTAAAAGCTGGTTTGCGCCCCCGTATTTCTGTGACATGGACTTTGCGGATGAGATCTAGACTCGTGAGTATATTAGCAATATCATACAAGCGTCTGATTTTTGCTGTGAAAAAAAAAAAAAAAAATAAAATTGAAAGGTTAGAATAGTTTGTAAATTCCTTACGAGATGAAAAGTCCATTTTATCAGTTTTAGATACAAATTTCATGAATACAGAAAGTCATTTCATGAATTCAAGATGTATTGCAAGAAATGTTTTAGCAAGTTATTGCTCCAGAAATTGATGCGATCTTTGTCTTACCATACCTTTACAGGCTTCCATTCTCTTATAGAATCATGTTTTTGCTGCTTTCAACTTTAAAAAATGTTGGGAAGGGTCATGTAACATGTACCCACAGAACATACACTTTATTTTCTGTTCTCAAGATCAGTACACTTACTTTTGAATTTGGAATTTTCCGTCCTGTCAACATTTGGGTCACCTATCAAAATTTTCGCTGCCAAGTCAAGGTTTACTGTTTTGGGCTGAAATATCAAAGAATAAAGTATATTCAACTTCTGTGATTTTGTCTGAAACCACTTCTCCTTGAAATTATCAGTTATGCTATATTTTTTTGTGTCAATTTCAAACACAACACACTGACCTACATATTTACATCAAAATATGAAAATTATGGCCAAATGCTGATGCAAATTTTTTAATTTACATTCGGAAATTTGAAAACCTTTCCCCCCTGTATTTCTGATCTACTATTCTGAAGCAAGCTAGCATCAGACTTTATTTGGTATGATACCATTTACCATTTCATAAAATTTGACTTGATTTTTTATAATTGACACTTACCTGGGAGACAAGAAATAACATGAGAAATTTTTGACTCATGATACCAAGTGATTTGTCCTTCCTCATTAAAGCTGCAAATGGAAGAAGGTTTTTTGTTAAAGTACATGTTTTGACTGTGATAGTTTTATTGCCCAGCTTTACAGTAAAAAACAAGCTCCTTCCTCAATCCAATAAGTGTGCTATTTTCCTAAGAAGCAGAAATGAAGAAAGTTTTCCTGATATTGATGGAAATGTTTATCAAATAATTTTTCTTAATATATATTTTACTTAGTATTCAAATACTATGCTCAATATCTATTGAAAAAAAAACAACAACTTAAAGTTATATGTGCATTAGCTTAGACTCTACATAAGTTTAATTGACATAAAAAAGGATTGATTTCCAACAGCAATCAATGCAACGTGTTTTCAAACAAGATATTCTTGAATTAAAGATATTCTGTTAAATCTTTCTGAAATGTCACTTTTAATGGCTGTGTAACTTTAACCAGAACTCTCTTACATATTTTCAGGGTGCCTTTCATCTTTTCTGAACATTGATAAAAAACTAATTGTAATCTGTTTTCTGTTCATAGGTCAAAACTTCAATAAAACACTTGATTATCAAAATTTGTTTGACAATAAGAGGCTGTGTCAGTGTAAAGCAGCGTACCTGTTCCACCTGCTGTTGCACCTTTGCCTTTTTGACTATTTTGTTTGGAGTTACCATCCTTGTTTGTTATTTGCTCTTCCAATTCACGGTTTAATTCATAGTCCTTCACATTTTTGAGCTGCTCGTCGAAACCTTCTGCAACACCCAAAGCCTGAAAAATGGAGAATAAATGAATGCAAGCTTTATTAAAACCATAAAATTTAATAATTTGAGATCTTGATTGCATTTCTGAACTACTTTTATGAATTAAAGTATATATAAAATCTTTAATGCATTGACAATAATACCTATATCCCACCTTAAACACTGCCTGTGACAAGTAAATTCTACAACTTGGATAGGAACAAATTTTAAATCACCTTGATCTGACTAAATTCAAACAATTCTTCAATTTGATTTGGTATTTTTGACCAGTGACCATACCGTTTAAACAACATTCCTTTTATAACACTTTTTTGTTTCACAGATGAAAAAATTGTTTTTCCTACATAACCAGTTTCCTGTACCCAATTTTAAGCCTACTTGTTTGAAAAAGGTGGTTCACGGAGGGAGAATCTCCAGTGCCAATTCCCAAACACTTAGGCTTACATGTTTAATTTTGATCATATACAGCAATATTATTAATAATAATAATGATAAAAGTTTCATACCTTTAATTTTCCAAGAGTATTGATCAGATTAGTCTTTCCATGCCAGGCATATTTGTTCTTTGCAATCCTACTGACAATTTCCACACTTTCTAGAACATTGACAATATCGTAGATTCTCCTGCGCTCCACAGCTATAAAATGAAAGTGTGTATATTAAAAAATATGGTCATTACTTTATAAATATCAAACTTTCAAAGTTAATGTTCACTCTTAACAGACTTTTGTGTTGCCATTACTTATTTGATGAGAATTGATTTTTAGCCAACAAAGGATAGCATTTCCAGGAGTATTAATTTTTTTTTAAAGAATTCACTCAATTCATAAGTAAATATTGTTAATATTTAGTGTAAACCACAGTGTTTCCTGACTCAAAAACCTGCATTTTGACTCAATTAATTGACAATGGATCCTCAAATCGATAGTTTTACTCTATGGCAAATGCAAAATGAGTTCCTGGATTCATGAATTTTGAGAAACTCAAGGAAAACATTGTCTAAATCTCATGACACAAATGTATAATTTACCCAATTCTTTAGCAACTTCATCCAGTGATATTTCACTGCTCTCATTCACCCCTGGAAATTCCTTGTATTTCTGCAGAAACCTGAAATTGAATTATGAAATACAAGTTTTAATCAAACATTAAAGCACAACAGTTTCATATTTAATTTCAGACATTTTGATACAAAATTGATCTAATAATCAACTATTTAGTAATAATCAGGTTTCGTTACAGGGTATTTCATAACTGGTCTTGCTTACTTTTGACAAAGAAGTCCTAAAGATTTTTCTTTCCTTGATCCAGGTTTCCAACTATCCCCATCTAAATCCTGATTGGCATCTCCTTCCATTTCAACTTCATCAACTTGCACTGATTTGCTCTTATCTTCAACAGGCTCTTCATTAAAAAGTTCCTTTCTTTTATCCCGATTTCTAATTTCTGGACTCATTGCACTGAAAAGCATTTTAAGATTAGCAGTTGGTGTAAGGGGTGCTTGAATATCATCAGCTTCCATTGTTGGAGTTATAGAACGTTCTGTACAAGAAGAAGGTTCTTCAGCTTTAACATTGGTATTTAATGACTGTCTTAATTTAGATCGTGGGGACGACACTCGTTTTGGACTGTCTTTGTTTTCCTTGTTTTTATTCTTCACTAATCTGTTGAATCTATCCATGTCTGAGTATTGAATATTTGTAGATTCGGAGAAAGGGATTCTATCCGATTCCTGATCTCCTTCACTTTCAAGTCCTTCATCGGAGATTTCTAACTTCACCTGTGAGGGAAGCAAGGATCTTGCTAGCTGAATTTCACTCATGTCGAAATCTACAAAATAAAGCAAATGTGTTATCTTGAGAATGCCTTTTACTAGATGATCTTATTATGTAATCCTGATTTTACCAATTGTGTGAATCTTCTCAGTTCTATGGTCAATAGGCATGCCCATATCCGTATATACAAATGGGTCTACACAAATTTCCATAGCCTGTATAGACTTGATCTGGTTTAGACATAGACACATTAAATTAAAGTTGTAATAGATAAGATTAAAACTTAAACTAGCCTTATTTAGACAAAGCCACATTAAAAATAAATAAAACGAAAATGAAAAAAATAGCCAAACCTTACAGTAAATTTAACGTTTTCTAAATTTGACTCTGTACATGTTCACCGATCATCTGCATTCCTATCCATTCCACTTCTATATATATTTCATGCTGATGTCCTTTTTATATAATTTGCTGTGACAATGTTTGTGCGTATCGACATCATTATATTTGCATATCTTACGTATTTTATTAATAGATATGAAGTTAGCTTTTTGTTTCTTCGACGTCGACTTCAAGGGGAAACTAACCCAGAATCAGTAAAGAGTAAACAATAGAAAATAAAAAAATGACTTTAAAGAGAAAATCCGAAAGGTAACGAACAGAAAAATGGCATAAAAAGACAATTCCATGTCGTTTGATCGTTGATGATTAACTTGGTGAATCAATTCTGGAATAGAGAATAAAAGATAGATCAACGACTGTTGTAGGGAATTGGGGTCCCGCTTTCTAGACCCTATAACGGAATTCACTTGGCCTACGTCGATTATAAAACATACAAATCATAATAATTTTAATGAAAATATTCGGAAAGAAAATCTAAATCAAAACAATGAAACGGATTTGGACAAAAAAATAAAAGATGTTTCAACACACTGATCGTGACGAGACATGTCACTTGTCAAATCACAGAATTTAAGGCGCCAAGCGAAAAATCGCTATGCCAGCTTCGAAAACGAACATGAATCCGGAAAATACTGATTACTTACCAAGAAAATCTGTAAATATCCAATTTTCCATGATGATAACTGAACTATTAACTAGCAAAACAGATATTTTCCGGTGTCTGATGTCATAGCGTTCAAAATAGCGGCGAATGTCTGCGCGTTCGAATTTGGCGCGTGATCGTATGCAATACGGCCCCAAACATGTATATTTAAGTGTTTTGAAGATTTTCGCCTCCTGTTGCTAAATGGCAACATGCGAAATGAATATATGTTCATATAGCCTGTTTTGGGTTTTGAGATCTATCAACCATCTGTTCAATGTATGAATTTGACCACTGATAAGCATCATTTCCAATACATAAATATACGAAGCGGTATCAGGGCCGTGACCCTGGGTCAAAATGTAAACCAAATATTCGCGGAAAAATTATCAGAAGGGGGTGTGACGTTAACAATCATTAATACAAAATAAACACTTGTTCTTGGGATATAAATGTAATGCACATATGTACTTTATGAGACTCAGTACGACTAGACGATCAATTATTTGTTTTGACAGAGATATTTTGCCATAAATTAAGATCGACACGAGTCGAGTGCCTACATGTACGGGATTATGTAGGTCAACATAAACTAGAAATTTATTTTGAACTTGTTAATAAACAGGACAAATATGACCATACAAGATGGTCTTATAACTAAATTTGGTAATGGAGAACTCGATTTCATTAAAACAACAATATAAAATTGGGTACTATCACTTACATGTCCAACCGGTGTTTGTCAAACTGCCTTCATTGAATCTTGGCTGGAGTCCAATGTGCTATCTAACACGTAGATATATTTTTCTAGATAGTTAGGTATATTGCACCAGTTGCATTCAGCAAACACACGTATCATTTAGAACCACAAAAATGTGTGAAATATGGCAATATTTAGTCAATCCGATCCTCCAGTACAACCGGTCAGATATTTACCGTTGAACGTACGAAAATACTACTAAATTGGCGCGAGATGTTACCGTTTTAGTTACCGTAGACCCGCCTACTTCAAGTGAACCAATCAAATCAAAATCTCTTTTGCCCGCGGTTATTGAAAGCCAATCATCGTGCCAATATACCAAATAGACGAAACGTCAAAGGTCACACGATTGAAAACATGTCCAAGCCTTGTCCTGACTGACAAGGCTGTGTAGTGTAGCAACGTAGGTAACAAGCCCAGACCAAACATCGATGACGATTATTGATCTCGCTCGGTATTGATTTTACTGTTTTGATGACGCATTTCCCGCGAAAATGGGCTCAGACAGGCGAGTTAGATATTATTAGAGTACGAAACCGATTAACGTTGGAATATCCCGCCAGTAAATATAGAATTAAAAATGTAAACACAGAAATTGATGACGTATTTCACATTCAGGTTATAAATGATGCATGCAGGTTTTTTTAGCAACCGTGTCTCATAGAGATCATGAAACAGGTAATTTAAAGAAGCATGAATTATGTAATGTTTGCATCTTATGTATCGATAACATAAGTAATTGTGTCTTACTATTTAAGAGAGTGCAATAATTTTCTTGAAAATTGTTTTGTAAAAATATTTATAAACATCCTTTGATTGATGATGCGCCGCGTGTTTCAGACGCTGAATGGCTGTGACTGTTACCTTGTAATCGATCAAAAGTAATACGTTTGATTGTACATGATAGGTATCTTAAATATCATTTATTTTTCTTTCTTTACAGAGAGAAAGGTGATTTTTTTTCTCTAAAAAAATAAAAGAAACAAGGGACGACTGCTCGTCTGCTCTCCCATATCGGTCATGGGTTAATTGTTTGTCACAACAATAAATCGCCCTAGGGTATTATGTACTGAGGACATATGACACAATATTATTTTGACATTGGGTTGGCACATTGCCTGTTTGTTACTGGTGTAACACATCTATTGACTTAATCAGGAATTGGTCAGAAAGAAGGATTAACCGCACAAGTATTCCTGTTTTATCCCCCAAAGTTCTGTTGGAAATTTACATTTTTTTACTACAGAATAATTGATGTTTATATCAGTATGAAAAGATAATATTTCTTCTTATAAAAATGTATTGCTCTGTCTGGATAATGTTGCTTCTTTTTAAACATCTGTTACTGTAAATTTATTTTTTTCTTCATTTTATGTTATGATTTTTTATCAATAAAAGGATTTGTCGTAAATTTCCATTAAAAACCTCAACAACTTTGGCACAAGGAAGACGAAGAGAAGATAAGAAAGAAAAAAAGGAAGTTCAAATGTAATATAGCAAAAGATGCACTAGAAAATTTAACTATTTATCTTTACAGCTATGAAATTGAAATTGTAAAGTAAACAGCACTGAAGTTTCTTGCAAGCAAAAAGTTATTTTTTTTTCAATCTGTTCATTGATTTGTATTATACAGGTTCTAATATGTATGAAAAAAGAAAAAAAAATACAACCTCACCCCCACTACCCCCACCCCCACCTAACCACCCCCCCCAAAAAAAAAAAAAAAAAATCCTAACAATAGTATTATCATAGTATAGTGTGCATTGAAAGTATTTGCCTTGTACAAAGTTCGCTGTTTGCAGTTAAAACGGGAATATCTTATAATTTAATTCATTACCTGCAGGTGAAACAGGAATTGTAGCTTCCGCTCTAACTTGATCAATAGAGGCAATTAAACTTAGGATCTTCATATTTTTTTCATTTTCAGTGTCTTAATGTCTCCCTTGATGATGCCTTACTTTTGGCTGTTAGTTTTCAGTGTTTGCCCTTTGAATAAGGCTTTTGGTTCAGTGTCCCTGGCAGAATAACATGCCTGTTGAAAATTGGTAGAGACCAATGTTTAGTAATACCTTAGTCTCACATCTGGTCCACCTGTTGTCAGTATAATGTAACTGGGTGGCATGGGGTGTTCTAATGTTCCAACGGCTGTCTACTTGATCACAGTACCATCTATACCATATATGTGAAAATGAACGGAAGTAACTCTGGGACATCAGAATGACTGGAAGCCTTTGGCTGTACAGGTCAGTTTGGTAGCACTGTAAAATTGGCATGAGCTATCTTACATGACCATATAGTAGCCTCCTGGAAAAAAACACATTAAACATACATGCTAATTCCTTGCATGCACTGGGACCTGGTGTCTGTAAATCAGCATAGCTGTTACTAGGAGGTTAAGCAACATAAAAACAAACCCAATACTGTTTCTTTATTAAAATTTGCTGGTTCAATAAAACCTTATGATCAAAGTAAGACCCTGACGAGAGAAAGAAAAAAATATAAGTGGTATTTTGTAGGAATTCAAGGATAATATCTTTCTAAACTAAGTACAGTTTAAATTTTATTTCCCATCCTAAACCTCACTATATTTACTATAGAAAAGGGTTCACTATATAACAAAAACTGTTTAGACTATGTTTTGGATCAATTTTTCCCATCGCCAACAGTCGTATAGCATAGTCTATAGACATCTATAGTACACATGATGATTTTCTTCTGTCTGATGTTTGTATTATACTAGATAGTCTGCCAGTACATGTATATAGCTTTTAGACATTCTGTTGGTGCCAAGGTACATCACTTTAGTATATTCGTACATTCATTTTGTATATATTTAGAAAAACTGTACAAGAATATGACTGCTAGGATGCCTGGAATCATATGTAAATGAGTTATATCATAATTTTTCTGCAGTCCATGCCTGATGATATGCCAACTGATATTGATTGCTGTTTTGTAGAGTTTCAAACAACAAATACTATTTCTTGGTGTTGTGATAAGCCCATCCATAGAAATTGATGGGGAAACAAAAATGCATTTTTTTTATTTCAGTAAGTGACATCAGATTTTTTTATGAAATTTCTTTTTCTTTCTTTCTTTCTTTCTTTCTTTCTTTCTTTCTTTCTTTCTTTCTAGCCTCAGTTACATTGTTCATGAATAAAACTCAATCGATCTGAAGCCCATGCTTAATTTTTAGGTGGGAGTTGTGTCCCTTTTGTAAAAACCTCTGCAGGTGCCATCCATTTCCTATACTGTGAAATACATCTGGCTGTGATATTTGATCTAACTTAGAATCACCTTTTCAGAAGGGCGAGACTTATTGTCTGTTATCTGTTTGTTTTTATTTGTCGTACCTCATCTTCTATCAATATTTTTCATTCAAAACTTTTGAATATTTGATCAGAAGTATGCAAGGATGAAGAGATATCAGGTTTGTTAGGACAAATGGCTTTGACCAATTCTCAACGTCACACAGGGTCATATGATTACTTAAAGAGGATTCTAGGTCATCATACTTGACAAATAGCATGAAAAGAAGGAAGGGTATCCATTATAGTTGAAAAAACAACCTTCCATTGAAATCTTACCTTCACAAACTGCACACTGAATGAGTGAGATAGGTCCATTAGTTCTCTAGTTATGGGAAATATGTCACTTTCATAGTAACATGATTATAATGCTTTAGAGGTTGAGAGTACATGGAAGTCACCTAACTAACCTCAGCTAGTGGGAATTTTCATTTAGTCATGTTGTATAGTCTCCAGATAGAGCCCAAAGGGTCAGTAATTCAAAACACGAATGGCAGTGTGGATTTGTTGCTGTTGACTACATAAGGATAGAAGTTATTTGAGATGCTTCCTTAAAGATATCTAACCTGCGTTGTTGTTGTCTTTGGGGTCAAAGTCTTTGTGGAGGGAGTAGTGTAGAAGTTGAGAGTACAGTTTGCCTTTCTAGCATCAGCAAGTGGGAATTTACCTTCAGTTATGTGGTAGAGTACCTGGCTAGCGAGGGAAGGGTTCAATTTAGTGGTGGCAGGTTGTTTTACATTATTCAGTCTTAATACAATATATCTTGTTGAGAAAAATTAAAAATATTCATCTGACATCATTTAGGAGTGTCAAGTTTGAAGTTTTACTTTGCAGTATAAACATGTTTTCTATACAAAAACATTTGTTCTAAGTCTTAATCTGTCTGTGTTGGTGTAAGCAAATGAATACTTATTGTATCAACAAGCAAGTCTTTCCGTTTTTGACACTAATATAGATTTTAAACTTGTTTATACAAATGTACATACATTCACACCTTACAGGTTAGGTAGATTTTCTGAACACCAACTCTGCTTTAAAACAACATGTTTAGATAGGTTGTCACAAGGGATGATTGAGAATTATAGCGTACTGCAGAATTGGTGTACAGGTAAATTGTACAGGTAAATTGTACAGGTAGATTGTACAGGTAAATTTTACAGGTAAATTGTACAGATAGATTGTACAGGTAAACTGTACAGGTAGTTTGTACAAGTAAATTATACAAGTAAATTATACAGGTAAATTGTACAGGTAGATTGTACAGATAAATTGTACAGATAAATCATTGTTTGGCAGTAATAGATCTAACCCTAAATTGTATTTGTATTACTGAATTGGAAAGGTGCTATTCACTTGTGTGTCATTGGTACAATCTTCAATACCTCTTGTTATGCTGACAATGATATTGATGCTGGTATATTGCTGCAGTCGCACATTAAGAACATAGTGAAAATAATTTTGACATCCAATCAATGTAGACTTTAGAGACATAATAACAAATTATAATGAAATTCATTGTTAAACTGAGATTTCTATTTGGCAGTTACTTTCCATTATAATAACTCTGATATACTCTCTGCAATAAGAAATGCTTGATGAGATATTACGTGTTGTATGCTTACCATCATTACATTAACAATGATAAGCTGACATGTTTATCTGAGGTTGAACATATTGAAATCTGCAAAATATTAGCGGTGATTAGTTATTAAAAGTTGAATAAAACTGCATCATACTTCTGTCCTTAAGAACTTGTTTGTGATGCAGAGGGC